AACCAGCATCTGATGTTTCGCTCTGATGGTATCCTGAAAAAACAGTATTCACGTAGCAAGGAAAAGAGGTGAAACCTTTTACAGGGTTAGCCTTGTGTCAGACAGCACCCCTGAAAACTTCACGCTCAAAAGCTTGATTTTATACCAAACGAAGGGTTCACGATCAATAGTAGCACCATGTTTTTTTAAAGTTTAACTTCAACTCTCAGCAAATGAAGTAAGTCTCGTTCTACATCTTCTTCACGTGGCCTTCAGCGTACTATCCTATCTATCCGTTACCTTTGCAATGAACTTCAAGCGAGAGGGAGCATTTAAATGTAATATGCCGCAAAGTCGGGTCTTTTTGACATGAGTTACATTTCAAAGCGCACTTCGTCCTATAGCGTTATAGGAGATAACCACTGCAAGCTAAGGGGTTCGTCTATGTGGTGAGACAAGGCAGCAGTTGTGAACATTCTGCAAAGTTGGTTAAGACTTTGAACCAGAATCGTCGCTCAATCCAATACTAGACTGTACAAGACGCTGTAATTTGTCAGAAGGAATGAAACTCTGAAGTGAAGTGTTTCTTCGAAACTGTGATGGCATGGACATATCGGTTTCAAATTACGATTTGAGAATGCTCACTAAAATCAGAATGGTAAAGTGAAGTTTGAACTGTTTTAGCTACGTTAGCTGAATGATGCTTTTGTTCATACTTTCGTTCAAGAGTGATATTATCATTTTGTTATTTGTTGGTTAGTTTTCAATCGTACTTTTTTTATGTTGAAAAGTAAGCAATTTTGACGACTTCATTCAAATAATAATCTTTAAATTTTGAACAAAGCTGTTCGATCAGTCTGTGCTCCCAGTGCTTTGCTATAAGTGCAAAACGTGAAAACTAAGTCTCAAAGTCATTCATAAACGGCAGCATACGCAACGCAGGATGGAGAGGTGTAAGGCGGGAACGAAGGGTACAAACAGGAAGACGAATGATGAACGCATATGAGCAGAAACAAGAGTATGCAATGCCACTGCGCGAGTGTATAAGTTCAATAGGCAATAGGAAGATCATGTTGTAAAGAGGTGCGACCAATGCTGGAGAACGGATACATTAGAACAGGTTTCAAGAAGGAATAAACGGTTCATAGAAAAACCTCTGAATGGAAGTCAAACTGGCAAATTTCATTCGATCAACAAGGATGAGAAATGCAAAAATCAGAAGTTCATGGCAAATCTTGGAGAGGACTTTATAGAGCAGTGGATCGACTAAGGCCGACGATGATAACTGCCCAAAGATAAGACGGGTGCATACCCATAAGCATATCCTATTGCTCCTTTACTGTAAAATAACTGTACCCTTTTTTATCAAAAAATTTAGAGCCGAAAGCGACCTGTGAACCCTCCGATTTGTAATTGACTTTCTTTTTTATTCATCTGTCTTTATATGCCCTTTCAAATTAAAACAGGTAGAATTTATGGAACTACAAGATGCAATGAAACGGCTCACATGTACATCACACCAGCACTGTAGAAAAACAGAGGATAAAGTGTCTGACTAGCTGTACTAATACCTCATACACCTGCATCTCTTCTGCAAGACATTTGTCCATTTTCTCTTGGGCTTTAAGCATTTTCGTCTGCGAAGACGTGAGACATTCGTTTAACTCCAGAAACTTCTTAAGTGTATCCGCAACCTCTGAAGGAAGATTGTCCAGACGAAATCCGAGGCTGCTAGGATTCCAAGAAACACTAGAAAACGTTAAAAATATTTAAATCATATCTTAGAAAAAATGCTTAAAAATAAGAAAAATCAAACAAGCAAAGAAATGCTTACCCTAACTGAGAATAAACCAGCGGAAGGTTAGACTGAAGCAATGGGTCTAGATTAACCACTGTATGGAAAAGGTAACAGTTGACCGTTTGCCACGATACACCGAACTTTTCCAAATAGTCTTTTTCCTGAAAAAAGAAAACCATGGACAACCAAAGTTCACAGGCAAAAAACGCTAACTTACAAATCGTTCTAGAAAGCAACGCATATTAGCGACCGTCTCTAACAGTTGCGATGCATACGATAGCACGGAATGCAGGAAAAAGTTCGCCACGTTGCTATTGATCGGTGAAGAAGAATCTAAAATTTAAAGAAGACAAATTACAGCCGGTACAGGAATGGCAAATCTCCTTGAGCATATGGACAATGCGATAGAAAGGGTCATGTTGAGAAACAGCGATTACAGGTAAATCAAAACAGCGTCACAAGCGAGAATGTGATGTCTGTGAATATATTGTCGCGCACTGTTATCAGCGGGATGGAATAGGCTAGCCATAGCATGATCCCGTGTTCAACAATAATAGGTTGACCAGTTCACGCATACTGGCCTCGACAATTCAGAAACAGTGCAAAATGAATATTCCGGCGTTGCGGAAAAAGAAACCCTAGATCCATGTACTAATGGTTCATTATTGAAACACTGACAGTCTGTTGTATTCGCATGTCGAATAAAACCCTACTTCGACAGCGGACAGTGTTACATCGTCATATAGCTAAAAATCTTCAATCGAAACAGACACACACGGCATATTGCTACAACTAATATAACTAGAACTTCAGTTATAGCTCATAGTAATCATTAGCTGGAGGAAACTGAGAAGACTAATACAACCCACTTATCGAGTTACAGCTACAATTTCTGATCAGCCTACACATAAAATGCCATTCAGTAATGCAAATTTTATCCTGCAGATTTTGTGAATCCAAATTATGTCAATATTACGATAAAATTTCCGTACCTTTGTCGCAATCGTTGGCGAGACCAAGCTTCTCAGGCGACACCAGGATCTGCAGTAACTGCACCTTGATGTCCATAATGTATTCACGAGCCTGAATCTCGAGCCTCTGATACAGCTGATGAGGGTTGTGTTGGCACTGCCTGAACATAAACCTCATAAATTAAATCTGAATATCATCTGAAACATTTAGCTTACCTCGCCACCAACTCTTTCAGCTTAGTGAGGTCGAATTTTCTGCCGCGGCCGGTTACACCGTCTTTAAACAACCGATCACGGTACATCTGACGAACCGCGTGCCTAAGCTGTATCCAGTAGCTCTGCAAGTTCTGGTATTCAAGTAGTTGATCGTTCTCGAGTTTTCTTAAAGCACAGCTTGTCATAAAACAAACTATCAAAAACGATATGATGAAATATAAACTCAGAGGATAAATAGCGATCCGTTTTCGACAAACCGACTATGGCACAGGTGTCATACGTGTGTAAGCGCGGGGCAAGGGAGGGAAGAACAACAATCAAAACAACAGACCGAATGCCAAAGCGAAAAATGGGGAATGCCCCCTCTACTTAATACAGCGACTAGAGATGAACCATTCTCAACGACTATTCAATAAAATCTGTCAATAATCGTGATCTAAATACAAACTCGAACATATGGACAAGGGAAACTTGGCAACAGTTTGGTAACTGGGGTAAGCGACACGATGTATATTTTTCTACCATTAATCCAAGTCCTGGGCTATATTAACGGAACAGATGATGTTGTTGCTTCCCAGTTCTAAATGCCATCCATCCACCGTTGTATGACGTTTCTTTTCTATCTGGAACAAAACTTTCTTTCTCCGTCAAGAGAACATGAGGAAAGAGCAAGAAACTTACTTAAAAGATGCCATGTTATGAAAGGAGTACATCTCATACCTGCAGAGCGTAAACTTCCTTCCTACGAAATTTCTAGCTTTTCACGCATCCTCTAAGAAAGGTACGACTGGAAATTGGTTATCTCGAGTGTATACTAAGCTATATGCATGCGTTGCTAATTGCCGTCTTCGTCCGATTGCAGTGACATAACATGTTCTGCGAAGATCAGTTTTTTAAAACTGAAAGTAGTACCGATTAGAGTAAACAGTGCGTTTCCCAGAAGAGGCTTTAAAGGAAACGAGACAGCTGGCTTGAAACTGAAGTTCATAAATAATTTAGTCATATATAAACGTTCCGCCTACTATAAAAGCATTTAAGAATGGACTGATGACATATGAGTACTGACTACTCCGGAGCAAGATCAGCAACCCTCATTTATCTCATGACAGTAAAAACCATGCAGAGCAGTTCTCAATTGGTACTGTTATCCTGCTCCCATTTGAATTATGTGCCTTTTACTGATATCAGGTTAGCGAATTGGTTTTGGAGAGAAACTTGCTACTCAAGGAAATTTACCTCTAAATAAGGCACACGGATGTAAGGCATATAACACGTTTTACGCTCCCCACTACTAAATAACATTTTTATACCATACTTTGCGTCTCACTCTGATCAGGTGTCAGGATTTCCTTCCTCGCTATTCCGAGGGAATGTGCTCACAGAGACCACCATGAAAACAAAAAGCGTCATTCGCGCCACCAGGATCGAACGAGACAGGAAAAATACAGTCTACCTTATAAGGAAAATCGACTTCGAGCACTTAATATATGGTTTCTTATGTGCCCTCGCAAGAAGAAAAGTTCTCAAGTACTGGGCCGTCAGTCTCTACCTCTGTTACAATTCCTTGCGTATGAGTGGCATCTAGCCTTATGAACTACGTGACTATTTATTTGTTGAAACTGAACAATAATTCTGTTAACAATCAACATTATTATGGTATGGAGCAGTTTCATATTTCAATGTCAGGGCCAAAAGCACATTATTTATGAAGATAATATTTACAGTTACATAGTAAGAACAGAATACAGCTTCCTGTCTCATCCTTTTAAAACACTCTTACTCGTTTGTCTAGCAAAGACGGATGAAAGATGGGAGACTAAACTGACATTAGAACTAATGATCTCTCGATCGACCGCGAGTCCAGCGCTTTACCTACTGAGCTACCTGGCATCGACTAATTGATCCCCGATGAGTTATATTTCCAGCATTTCCGCACAAAACACGGTATCAGTATACGGATCCTGCAGACGCTCGGATGCAGAATAAATAATGACTCATAAATCATGCCTTATTTTAGATCACGATACCGCGTGAAAATGATAATAGCGTAAAAGTCATTGTCATAATGACCCAGCAGGAAGCGACTGCCCGATATGTAGCTGTGCAAAAAACGTATCGAATTGCGTTGATTAATAATGTCAAGTCAAGCTACAGCATAATCCCATAGCAAATAGTTTAACAATGCAACTACTCACAGTCGCTCGTTGCAGCTTTGGCAGTTACAGCTGTTCACGACGCCGAGTTCAGACACGAGGTCATGGCTGTGAAACTTCTGGTGTGAAAATGCCATACTGAGCAATTCCTTCGGTAGGTCATTCTGGGCCTACAAAAGTGACAAACAGCCTTAAACTACGCAAAAAACTTATGGTTTTTGATAGGCTACCAAAAGTTTCAGTTCCAGCGCTTTTGCGTGTTCCGGTTTTGCAGCCTGGCAAACATCACAAATCCAGAATATCTAAAAGTATTTTTTTGAAAAATCAAAAATGAAAGAACCGCTTTGGGCAATAAGCCAAAAATGACCAAAACTCACGTCGCTCTGAGAAATTTCTTTGGCGACAGACTTCTCCTTTTTTCCTGTACTGGCTCCTAAATAAACATGAATAGGAAACATATATGCAAAAGAATGTAGTATATTTATAATTAACGTAAATAATGAAAAACTAGCTTACAATATAAAGTACAAAAGCGAAAAATTAGTTAATTAAAATATGGTAAATTTTTCAACTTCGTTGTAACCGGCGTTCAAGGGGAAATTATTCAGAGGTATTCCATGAAAACTGCGATGGGGATAATCCAAAACTCCTTCCTGACCAGATCTCATGGCGTATTGTGCTGCCCTTGCACTGAATTGCTTTGGAGGGGGAGCACTTAAGCAGTTCATGGGTTCATGCTATACATGACATAGCCCAATGTATGAACGTTTCAATGCTAATGCGGGAGCACAAAGTACCATAAGAGGTACCTACAAGTACTATCTGTTGAAACATCATTAGTAATGAACGCAAGGCGGCTGATGCGAACAAAATAATGTCGATGCTCAAAACCTGTGAAACAAGGACCTGTTCAAACGGCATTCCTAGGCAACTAAGAGCAAATGGCTTGCGCTATAAGCCATGAAATCTGATTTTGGAAGAGTATAAGAATCTGAGATACTCTGGCGAATGAGCATTTTTTATGTTTATGCTAAAATTGCGAACGATATACCACAATGTTCTAGGAGTGACCAAAACTTGACAAGAGGCTCAAGTACATGCTTGCTAACAGTAAAGGACAACGTGAAATCCGGCAAGAAGATAAAAACATTAATTCAATCTTTTCATCAATAATCGAAGATTATGAATAAGTATTTATCACAGATCCGGCCATGGACCATATATGCAGAGTGTCCAAGGGCCTGAGCGAGATAAAAAATACCACGATGTACTTTAAAAAGATGACGATCTACATCACACCGCCGAGGCAAATCAGACAAGGAAAAGGACACTATAGTAGCAATAACGAAAAATTAGCTGCCACCTACAAATAATGATTTTCGAGAAAACAAGGCAATGCATTGAAATTACTTTTTCTTATGGTTTATACTCCATTTGAACAGAAGAACAGGAAGTATCACAATCATCTTCCATCATCACTAAACCCTGAAGATAGAAGGATCAAACCAAAACATTTTCATCATGCGACAACCCACTGAACAGGAAACAATGATTCAAAGGCAAACGAAAGAGACCGAGTCAAGTCCTGATGTATAACAGGAAATTGAAAAAACAACATCCTCTGAGCAGCCTGAAAGGTCGAAGCCTCAAAAGTCCGGCACCTCATTTATAAAACACTTTAAGGTTCAACCACTATTGCTAATGATGTAAAAGGTGAGGAATGATGGAATATTTTTTCTTCCTTGTTGATGAACTTTGCCATTGAGTAATGAAGCTTCTGACGAGAGCTTATGAAAACGTGACTTCCTTCCTTCGTATTTCTTTGATTCAGATTTACAATATGCAGAGTACACTGCCGCATTTCGAGCATCGCATCCAGCCGCGGCTTCGGTGTCTAACTGTCTGACTGGTCGTCGATCGAAAACACTGAATTATCTGACTGAGTATTGTCTGATAAAACCACATTACACACTGCGTTTATGGTTTAAGCTTACTTTTCCTACGCTCATTGAACACGAAACATGAACACCTGTTTGTACAATTTAAAATTACCTCATCGACCAACTTCGCGAGAATGACACAGATACGGAAGAATCAGAGAAATACAAAAACTACAAAAGTACCATGAGGGAAAGATTCAGAATGCACTGAGCATCAGGCCATTAGGAAGTGGTGAGCTATCTCTTTACATTCAGACATAAAAACAATAGTAATTGTGAGTGGAGCATTAAAGCAGAGCAAATGTCTTCTTGTGCATGGTTATAACCATTGAATATGTCCAAGTCCAAATTCGACAGATGGCTGTGGTTGAAACGTCAAGCTCATGCAGAGCTGCAATTTCCATTTCGAATATTCTACGATTTGCACTAGCTGTTAATGGTACCTGGTGAGGAAAGCTGCCTTCACATGCTCATAGTATGATCATTTGTGTTTGTATAGCCAACGGTAATTACGGTATTCGGTTCTGCCATGCACCGCACGAATTCAGTCTAGAGAAGCGTTTTGTCTTCGGGCCAAGTGGAACTTCGGCAGCATTTCGATCAGATGGTAAATCAAAATTCTTATGGAATGATGAAAGCTCCTCTTCATTTTTCGTCAGCATCGATAACATTAGGCTGAGAGGGCGGAAATTTGGGAGAATGTCAATTCATTCTGAGTCAGGGAAGATACCAGAGGTTTTGATGGATCAGAAGATCTTCCTTGCAGTGGATCTTGTGATATTCTCGTAAGCACGTTTAGCGCGTTTCGATTTCTGGTGGGTGGTGCTCTACAGTAAGAGCAGATACAGCTAACGCTGACAAACTGGTGGTAGTGTTCTTGTGGTTCTCCTCATGATGTTGATCGGGTTAGCATCGAGGATTCGAGTACAGCTGTTCGATTCTGAACGGAACAATTGCACAATCATCCAGACGCGAAACATCAATTAGAAACAAGCTGATCGTGTTAACGTTTCGGCCTGTGAAACACACGAATCTCCAAACCCAGCTGCTGCTCTCTGTCAAAGGTTAAACCTAAACCTAAAACAAATCTCAGTTTAGCGATGTGTAAATTACGCTTGAGGTAAAAATCAGAAGGCTGAAACTTTATGTATCTACTAACTACACACTGACACCTAGGCAGTGATTTTCTAAGAGCACCAATGAATCGCTTCATGTCAAGTTTTGAAAGGATTGTGATTTTAACTTCTATCACGTAGCAAATTCCTAACCCCTTAAAAATTACCGGCACTAAATAAACCCTACCTTACAGTCGGTACGCATCGCAGCCAAAATAACTTTCTTCTGTCAAATTAAAATGCCCGTTTATAAATAAAATTTCTAATTTCAAAATTTCTGACATTTTAGGCTTAATAATAGTGATCCTCAACGCCCTTTAAATAAACTTCACTACCTTACCGAAAGAGATTATCAAAGATATCATCGGCAGGTATATGTCCCCAGTTATAACTGTTGTAGAGGTGCAGGTTCAATCTAAGTACGACCGACATCAACCTCTGACATTCGTTATCAATCGTCGTGAGAAATTATATTTACCATTATTAGTCGAGCTTTACGATATCTGGATTGTTGCCTATCGAACCCATGTCTTCTGGAATAATGTCGCTACTAAAGTAAAGGTGAAACTACCCTGCAATGGCGCTGTGAGTTGTAACCTCCGCTAGTACCGTCGCCACATGTTCATACGATGTTTGATTATGTTTGCGATGGTAGGTAGCGAAATTCTCTTCGACGTACTGCAGCGTTACCAGTCGAAAAACCCTGAAGGCAAGTCAATGACTTGGAAAAAACTGGCAAAGCGCAGGCCTGCTTTAGATGATGCCAGAGCTTGCGTAACTTTATGATCATGCCGTTCTCGTACCCGCAAATTCAACGACCGATAATTGCCCATATTTTTAGGGTCAGCACAAGCAAATTATTTATAAAAAAGCTGAGCATTTTCTCTTTAAACTTTTACTGCGACCAATTCGGCTGAAATACTTGATGAGTTGCAAAGTACAACTTCTCAAGGCCTATTTTGGCAAAAACATGTATTAATCCAAAAACCGATTCGAGATATTCCGAATCTTTGAGGATATTAAGAATTGGAATGACAAAATGATCAACCGCGAATCTTGGTGCTTGCAGCATGACATAAAACTGATGTTCAATGACGAAGAAGGAAACTAAAGAACAAGAAGCGAAAGCTCACATCCATAGAAAAAACAATAACATAGCGGATGCTGCTTGAATCACTTCCTGCGTGAGAAAAAGAATCAACCAATTTCTGAATTTAAAAATTTTTGGCAATTAGTTGCTTAAGAATTTTATTCCGACTGTATCCTCTGCCAATATTCCAAAATAACAGAAAAATGACAAAGATCTGTCAAGTTTTATTCGTCAAACAAAGTAATATTTTTATTTGGACCAATTCTTGATCAAAGCTTCAGCGATAAAACAAACTCAATGAACCGTTATGCAGCATTACACCAAAGGAAGAGTAGGACCAAGACTGATGTCTGAGGATCAACGGAAGAACCGATAATATTACACAAAGGTTACAAAATCATTAGTAGCGTACTTACTTCTGGGCCTGTCACAAAACAAGCATCTTGAGCGCAATTCCACAGCCATACGTTCGCTCCTCGCAAGAAGGCTGAAAAAAAAATGGAAATCATTAACCGATCATTAAGATCAAAGTCGCTTAAAATTCTGCTTTTGTTAAGAATTTAAGAAACAACAACGACTTCTTTATCTTAAAAGTCAAGATACAAATTCGACGAACAACGTGAAAATTCAGTAACTTGACGAACAGGCAAGATGAAGATGCAGAGGTATATCTGTAGTTTGATCGGTTAATTTATACTCACAAATCAAACTCTTTGGTGCATATAAACACGTAATAACAGGTGCATTTAAGTAAAGAATTCTGTAATAATAATAATAATACGAACATGAAAAAACGAAAAGCATGCACAAATCATTTAATCAACATCTCATTCACAACTTCGCTATATTTCAAAACAGCTGCATACAGTAATATCTACATAATACATTTGCAGGTACTATCTTATTTATTTGCCCTGGGATTGCTACCAACCCATGCTCATTTATATATGCATCAATTTAATGTTATTTATCTGCACAATAAAGATGCCTTCGCAACAATAATTGCAGTTCCATAGCCTCAACTCTTTAGAATCCATTCTTAAGTCGAAAATGCTTGATTTACTTTCCTAAAATAGTACATAAATCTTAAGACAATTTGAAAAACATTACAATACTTTAAATATGGTTATTCAAAAGAGCAAAAAGTTATATTAGGTTTGACTTGAAATTAAGAGCTTATATTGCTTGTTTCTATTTGTAATGGAATTTATAGGTTCAGAATTTTCTCCGAAGCAGCATCACGTCCAAAGATTGCGCAGATGAACAACCTTCACACCGCTAAACAATTTTCTGTAATCTTGGGAAACTGTTTCGGAATTTCAATGAATAAGCAACTATCAGAACAGTTTAATTATGCAGATATTTTGACAATTGAATTACTGACCAGTACCGACATTTCTGGTTTCACAATCTGACCATGAATGTAAGAATAGATACAAGTTAATAGAACAATTTCCGCAGTTAAATCACATTTCTATCCAGAGAAGGATAATGGAGATGCCTAAAAAGTCCGTTTTAATCAGTTGACTAAATTACTGACCAAGTTACTGACATCGTGTTCAGTATGATCATAAAAGCACCAAACACTCAAGCTGTAGTCGATATAAGTGCGGTGCAATGAGTTTGCATTTGTGATTTACTGACTGATTAAATTGCTTGCAACAAATTTATTTATATTTATGTGTGCGTGCGTCCCGTATCTAAATGGTGTATGCATTTGTCATCATCACATTTGGCCGTTTCTATAATCAAAATGGTAATGGTATTTTTGGTCGAAATCTTCCGTGTTTCGGCACTAGTAGGAGAAGTTCGCCGGCTGGAGTAAATGATTTCTGCTGAACCGGTTTGCCTAAACGAGTAACTTCCGTTTCTTAATCTCTACCTCTATTGATATCACCTGTTTCTCGAAAGGAACACAGTCATGTCTTATGCGGTCCTGCCATTTATCGCTCCTTGAGTATCGAAGTCAACGGTATCGCACATAGATAAACGGTCATTCTTCCTCCTTCGTTAGAACAACTGCCTCATTACTGTGCAATAACGTTGATCTTACCGAAACAAAGTATACGTGGATTTTTGGGGAAAGGATTAGCCATAGACAAATTAATCCAGTGGTAACCATCGGTACTGGATGCGAGGCGATTCTCCTCTTTAATTCTGATCGGACGGTGCCAGCTTTGGAGATGATTGAGCCATATATTTGTCGACTTCCTCTATGTCTTGCCCCCTATATTCCACTAGTACATCTACCATTTCAGATAAGTTGTTAATAACTTTCAACAGACACAAGGGTACAGCTCGGTTTTCGCATTTATACGACAAAGGGTGCCTTGCAGGCGACAGAACCAGATTTTTCAACTCTTATATTTTTCACCAACACGATCGAAAGCTGATCTGGACTCTATTTTCATTTCTATAGCATAGTTTGTTCATTTTGATTTATCAAAGATTGTGAAATTATCACACACATGCATTACCGAAGAACATATTAGCTTTAAACACCGCAAAAATGTCCCTAACAAAACTTAAAGACACGAGAGGTTGTAACAAAAGGGCATTTTTGCAACGTAGGTGTTTCAAGATGTGTATCTGCTAGGCGAACACTGATCGGTAATCCCGTGCGAATTCCAAACTTCGGTTCGTAAATTGAACATGGAAATAAAAAAATCCGTGCTTATCAGAACCACTTTAAAAACGCAAAGCAAATCTTTGTTCACCCCTCATCGTATTGCTGTCTTCGAACATTATATCGGTTTGGTCTTCGCCCGGTATATCAAGGGCCAGGCAGGATGTTGCAGAACTCAGGCAGGCTGCGAAAAGTCGGCGAACAGATTTTGTCATCATCTTCTGGCAGCCGGGAACGTAGCAGCACAGCGACGGCTGCTGAAGATCCACGAAACGACGACGAAGATACCAGTCAGCAACAGATTCACTAACCGTTTCGAACGGAGGAGACAGCACGATGCCATTACACTGTATCAGAGGAGACTTCGTGGGAAAGGGAAGGCATTTAAAACGGAAAGCCTAGTGCTTTCTCGTTCTCCTGCCTGTTGCTCTCTTCAGGAGAGGTAGTGGAGCAGGTGGAGAAATTCAAATACCTCGTGGTCGTATTTACTACTGATGGAAAATTTGAGGAACAGATCGACCGGCAAATTGGAGTAGCCAGAGGCGTTCCCCGTGAATTGACTTCATCTACTTGACTAAAACGAAGCTCAGTCTGAAAACTAAGTTCTCGGTATTCAGACTCTGGCACAGAATCGGGAACGTTGGAACCACTGTCTAACGCGTCTGCCTCAGCGACCCGAAAAGAGAAGCGGTCGTGGAAAATAAAGATTAAATCTTCCAATGAAAGCCTGTTGAAAATGCTCGTGCTTCAGTGCTATCCATTGCAAGTGAAAAATTATCGTGTATGAAGCAGGCCGTATTGAAATTATCGAAGAATAATCTACTTGCTTCAGCTCCTCGATGAAGTTCTGTGCATCTTTCACTGTGTAATGTAACTTTTGTGCAGCCGGCTTTAGCAAGAAGTCTAGTCGTTAACTGACTTTGTAGATTACAGCTTAGCAGAACGGCATCATAACACGAAGCCATTTAGTTGACTAATGTAGTTTGTCATAACCACCGTCCATATGGTTCAGGGTTACGACATGAACCGACGGTAAACAAAAGGCCATAATTTCTTGTTTGACTACCTGTGTTCGAAAGCAGATCTGATATGCAAAAGGCTTTATTGGTTTACCATATTCTTCACTGGTGTGAGAAATTTTTGTTCTTCTATAACAGACTTCTTCACTGTTGAACTGACGCTGCTTTTTTAAGGATACATGAATTTTTCATAATGACTGTTCTGCAAGCTTCATTTGTCGCTGAAATGATTAAACCTTCTTATTTTAGCCCCATTTTCATTTTAATCAGTATATCAAGAAAAGTATCTGGTGAGTTTGAGCTACACCAAGTTATGTTATTTCGGGGAATCAGGACCAAAACTGCATTAATTTCACCTTTCTTAGCTTTCATATGTTTACTAACATAAGCTGACTGTGGAACGAATACACGACGAATGATTTGAGTGACAGCTGGAGGAGTACCATCGGCCAACTTGTCCGGAAAAAGTATTAGAACAAGTGCTACAGTCACTCAAACTCACACCTAAGTTCGCATGGTTGCGTGTAATATTGTCCTTTGAAGATGCCACTATGCTGCGGTCGCAAAGTAGGGTGTGCCAAGGAAATGACACTATCCTTATCAGTTGTTGGTTTGAGCCATGACTCGAGAAACGGGGATGATTAATTGTAAACAGCAGCTTTTCATTGGTATTTTGAATTTATTGATTTACTGAAACTATATTGATCGCAATGAATGGTCATTATTGCTAGGCAACGTATGGTACTTGTATAAGGAATTACCCAGTAGCGGCAAATATTTCTCTAGGCTTCCATGGCCCAGGAGAACGAAGAACATCCAGCAGAGAAGGAGGAAGACCGCAGTCCCGGGGAAGCCTTCCTTCCCTTCGTCAAAATGGACCTGCTGTACAACAAGTTGAAGATGCTTAACTACGACAAAGAATTTCTTGCCGTTTTTCCAACATTCAAGTCAATTGATAGGTTACTATTTGTTATGGTTGAAGTAATAGTCAAGGTTAATGTGAACCGCCTTAGGAGGTATTTTGTGGACGAGATCAACAGCGGCGAACAGTTCTTTATGTTCGTTAACTTGGCCTCATGGCTGATTCGAAAATGCGGCAGAGTTCATTTCAAGACACCGCTTGAAGTAAGCTTTTGAATAGCTCTGTCTGTGGTGTTTTGCTCACAGTAATACTACCCAAGTATTGGGAGTGTGGACAATAATCGCAGTAGGGGATTGAATTTTCGGACAAAGCAGTGTGAAACACATGGTCAAGAAAAGTTTAGAAATCCATTATCAGCTGTTGTGAGCTGAGAAACCCATAAGAGTCGGCCAACAAGGCAGTAGTAACAGATGTTGACAGAAGATTTTTAAATTTTTTAAGGCAAGCCCGATTGAGGTTGTAGACTGACCTATTAATTCCCGATGGAAAGTGAAGTTTTTCGTCATGAGTTTACTATTTGTATGCAAGATCAAAACTCAGGGATAAGATTGGTGGAAGCTCTGGATAATGCCTGATAAAATATATAAAAAAGGGAAAGAAAATTCGCCATTAGGGTAGTCAAGATCTGCGAAATTTAGCTTAGAAGTAGTGCCTAAATTTCACGTTCGTGTTGCGATCTCTACAGAGTGTCATAATAATAACATGCATACTGTTTTCTAGAATGATGATCCAAACAAATCAATTGCAAACATATTAGAAGAACTGAAAGAATTTGTAAGTAGATCTTTTTACAACGTTTCTAATGATTCACTGTTAAATACATATTTCCAGGTAGTTAATTTATACCCTACGATTCAAAAGGGGAGCTACAATCCAAAAACATAGCATAGTATTTAAAAAGAATATTTTATTCATCGTTTGTAGTAGCTGCAGGCATGGAAGGAGATGGAAAATGTTTATATTACGGATGTCGGTTATCTTTAGGCCCTCCACGTAATAAGTCGGTGGTGTCTTCGTATTATCCAACGGCACTGATGTTTCTCCGTTGCTTTCCCAATGGTGCCCACAGTTGTAGGTAAAGGAACAAATAAACAAGGATAAGCAGTTCAAACGGTGCTACAGATTTTGGAGCAGTTGGCAAAAGTTCATTGACAAAACGGAGGCAATGATGACGACGTAGCCGTTGCCGTCAAAGCTTATGATCACCTGAAGAGCAGAAACAAAACACTGTTCAAACTTCAGAGGCATCATTATTCGTTTTTCATGCGGCCAGTTTCTTTAACTTATGCAGAATCCACAATTATTCATAAATATCGTTCATTCCTTTAAGGTAAGGCCCCTGTACGGAAATAGGTTAATATTCAATTAGTTAATCCTCCTCAACGAAGAGGAAACTTTGGAGTAGGCATAAACTAATTCCCATCTAAACTGAATCTGAACGTATCTTTGTAAGTTGATTTGTTCTATTTGTTTTTGTTACCTCTTCTGACTGCTTAGAAGATTCCAAGAGCTTGCATTCTTTTTTCATTATTAAATATATTTGCTGAAAAAATACATGCCAATATCTCAGACATTGGTTCTTTAGCTTTTGGGAATTGAATGTCTGTCTTCTCACTTAACCTTTCTCAACTAGTTAAGTTCATGGTTTGAATAGAACTTCTAGAAATTTCATTTTTCAGGGGGTAGAACAAAAATGACTAATAAAGTAATTGCAAGTTGGATAGGAAATAAGATAATAGAGCAGAAAATAATGAGCATAAGAACGATAGACAGAGGGAAAAGGATAGAAAATGAGAAATACAAGCTGCACTTTAAACAAATCAAGGCATTTACGCCTACATGCGTCAGAATCTTTGAGGATTCTGGCTGAGGACAGGGTTATGAGTATGCAGTACAGTTCAGACACCAGGCGCTGACGTCATATGGTCTGGTAGACGAAATCCCTCGAGATGTATTTAGACAAGTTTTTCGTGCAGTTGGCTTTGTTTCTTATCTGGCATCCTAGAACTCATTGCAATACCTTCAGTTATTGCCTGTTCAACTACATGCAGAATCAGGTCATAATGACAATAACTGGCTCTGCTATCGACCAGTATTAGCGATTTTCTTATGATTTTGAAGCCTCATGCAAGGAACCCCAGAAAAATTACCAAAGCAGCATAAGTAATGAGTGGTAGTATGCATGTAAAGACAAATGATCTGCAATTTCTTTGGATGCATACAGGTCTCTGAGCCCCAACATATGAAACGAAGATAATACTTGTATCATTTTTTGATATCAACGGCTCGGTGCAATGTTTCATTCCTCAATTATGAACAAGGAAATTATTTGTTAAGGGTGTACCAAGTCAATTTACATCAAGCAAGTTAAAGGCAGGGGCTGGCGATCAGTGCATCGCCGTGCTGACAGCGCTAGCGGACCAGGCGCTGCAGAAGACAAATTTCTCATTTCAAGCGTAAGTTCTGTTAAGGTTTTTCTATATAGAAAAGTTCGTTACCTATTACTGGTTGCGTGCGGTCGTTGACACCAACGCAAGTACTGTAAATAACCAATAACAAGGTAAATAACCTCATGATCAACCTAGCGGCAAAGGTCTGACAAATCCATTTTGACAAGTTTTTGAACCTCGTAGATTGTAGTCTTCTAGATTTTGCAGAGGTAATCAATGCCATGGTCACCAGCGAATTATAGATGGTAACATAAATGTGGCAGCTGATATAATAGCAGAAATTTCGAGTAGAATTTTTTAGTTATTTTCATTCATCATTTAACAAATTTTCGACAGTTCAATAGTACCTTGCGATTTCTGATTCGTTCATTCAAAGAATGTGAACTAGCCAGTAAATAGTTCGAACTGAAGGTAGCACCCGTTGTATACCATCAGACGAATTGTCTTTTATCTTTAAAGAATTGAAATGCCCAATTGAAATTACAATCCACTACACAAGTTTGTTCGGTCAATGGTCCATTTCTTCATAGACGCAAAGATTGAATGCCACATGAGGACGGCAAGTCCCAAGGTTTTAGACACACGTTTTGTCCACATACACTTACATCTAATAAGAGAATGACGCTTTTATACTCTTCTTCGTTTCAACAGTCGATCTGCCCTAGAAATCTTTAAAATTCTAGAAGACCCAGTAACACATCAGTCGCTTTGCGTTTTTCTGGGCAAACGTTGTATTGCATGGAGTGAATGATGGGACTGCCCTACATTACCGTAGCTGTACTGTGTTTCTTGTCTCCATCATACTCAAAATGAATGTCAATAAAGCTAGCTATTGTATAGCTCGCTGAACGAAACGTCGATCAAGTAGATAGATGGCATTAACCCCTGCCTACCCCTTAAGTTGATAGCCGACGTGGACGACGCTGTGAGGTCACTTAAGAAACCAGATCAACCCAGTGATGATCAGCGACAAACGACAATCAACCAGGCGAAACGAAGTGTGGATATCCGGTAGTCATTTCTTAGTGATCGCGAAGCTCCGCTTCAGAAGAACCTCCCGGACAGTGGGAATATCGCTTTGATACGGAGAAGCTGAATGATCTCACAACTTGAGGATATCAGAGTAAATTTGTTGCCCTGAAAGAAGTCGCCATATTCCAAGACCTGAAGCTGCTGGATAATCACCTTATAAAAGGCATCGTCGACAGCGCTGTCAATGTTATTGACTTCGGCAACATGAAGACAACGTAACTGCAGGTCGAGGAAGACAGTTCGATTCAGTGGTGATTTTAGCTACTCGACATTATAGGGTAGTGGTTCCATTTGGCGGAAGTGTGCTACCGCATAATTCTATTTCCCTTGTCTCCAAAGATACGAAGATTTCTGTTTTTGTCACTGAAAAAATCGCTTGTTTGCTTGTGTTTCCACAAGCGATTACGCAGCATTTTCCTTATCATGTATAGATCTTATTGCTATTGAAGCATAGCAGTGCACTTATTAAACACTCAATTTGACATGGAAAAGTTTTTGAACATCATGATATAATGGGGAATTTAAAATTGCAACAGCATTGTGATTTTGCCTACATTGTTTACCATAAATAGATATGTGACAACTGATATAAAACGATGTTCGAGATTCTATTTAATCAATTGACTTAATAACATGATGTCAATTTATTTCAAGACCTGAATTTCCGGTAGATGAGCCAGGCGGCGATTCCACGGTAATTCAAGAGGCAGATATAGAGAGCGACCAGCCTCAGGAAGTAATAAAAATATTTCGATTTCAGCTTTTAACAGTTGCTACATTTAAGGATGAATTTGACATTTCGGATGATGAAGAAGACGAACAAGATGAAGGTTTCATAGATTTAGAGATTACAAAACATCATGACGTAAAAAAATGATCTTGCTTAGGGTTGCTATAAGGAAAGCTGTTTTTAGCAACTGAGAAAACCGAAACAAATGATAGAAATTAGCGATATGAAGTGGCAGCAAGAAATCGACCGGGTCACTCCGTCGTTGAAGATAGTCATCAAACAGAGGGCTGCGGTAATAATATTTTTTTTAATAGAAATGATACTGTTGTCTGACTAGCTCAGTTTCTAGAGCATGTGACTCTTAATTTCAAGGTCTTGGGTTGGGAGCTTCGCGTCGGGCGGTAATTTGGGTTTGGTTGTGACCTCTTTCAAGCATCAAAGTCTTCAACTTTCATTCAGGTTGACTTATAATTGAAAGAGTAGCGGATTCGGGGTGTCAAATTTTTACTGACGGCAACAATAACATAAATAGCCCACTTCCACAACACAGCGATTTCATCTGCCTATCTGACTATTACTTTTATACCATGCCATTTTCTCTGATCATTCTTAAGCACATACTGACGCTGATTAACCAGAAACCAGACCATAAACACAATCGTTTTTTCGTAAACGGTACTTGCTTCCGGTAAATGTATGAGGTTGTTTCCATCTGGTTGCAGCTGACTGTTGCAATTAGCCTTGTTTCAGCAGTAACCAGAGCAGAATTATGATTAAACATATTTGCTTCTTTCGAAAACCAACTCATACACATACTGATCCTAAAATGAGATGACATGGTATGGCAGGTAAAATCAATGGTGGTCAATTAAATATCAGTCAACCAGTCTCAACATATGATCCTTTGCCTCGATACTTTCGCGAATACAAAAAAAAAATCCTCGCAGGCTTTGGTCATCACTACAAGTAGACGACTGTACCAAGTCCGAACAGCATTGACGCTTGTGCCAACGGGAAGAAGTTGATCGAAACCGAATTTTCTAAATTTTTTTACAGTGGAAGCGTATTGCACTATACGATTACTGCGTTATCTGAGGTAGCAAACGTTCTTCCAATCTTTACATGCCAGAAACAGTTCTATTAGGGGCCTGAGGATTCAAAATTTTCCAATTGCAGCTTAACGACCGGAAATCTAATCTTGCAGAATGCATATATTTCATAAATGTTTTACAGCTGTTCTTCAATCAACGCTGAAAGAAATCCAAACGTTTGCCTGCGTGACCTACCATGTCTTCTATAAATGCAGGACAAAATAAGCTACCAAATTCAAGTCAAGTGAACCTGCCTTCAAGTTAAAAAACACAGACGATAATAGGGTTATCCTTTATCGTGTTTTCTTCTCCGTTTCAGGGGTAAAATTATGTGATGTCTTTCAATCCTCGATACGCATTTGAAGCAAAATAGAACTTTTTACAAATTTTCATTAAAATCACTAAGGTCTGCTATCCATTCATCATCAAAAGCGTTTCGATAAATGACGGGTCTCGACGATAATTGAAATTGCTTACTCTGCCCCATCTCAACATACAGAACTTCATTTTTACGCCAACGACATAAAAACACGAAAGAAGTATAAACGCAGGCAGAATGAGTACACTGGAAGTAGCTGGTTTTCTGAAGATTACGATGGTCATAAAAGTTCTCAGGCTTGCAAACGTTTAAATTGCAACAATTGGCATAGGTCATCAGACCTTCTATGGGAATTCTGCCGTTGGAAATGATATTGTGACTTCAAACCATATTTATTCTTCAGTAAACCAGAAGGTCAGTTCAGAGAATAAAGTTACCCAACAGAGGTACCGTAGAATTGTATACTACAAAGTCATCCCAATAAACTGCAAGTTACTGTATGTTCTTGCTCTGGCATACAAATGTATTAGACAAAGTAGAGTATTTTCTACAAAGTATACTTTCAGCAAGTAGATTCTACTTCAGAACTGGCGAACTCACCTGCATGCAATAAATCAGTTCAAAACGGAACTCAGCTCTGTTCGGGAATCGCTTGAAGAGTCCCTCGGAAAACTGTCGAAAGACATTGCACGAACTCTGGATACCATTGGCTCTAGAGAAAAGTACTTGAATGCACAACTTGAGCCGCTGTTGTCGAAACTGCGCAGTACTCAAGACCAGCTGGCAGAAGTTAAAGAAAAATACCGCGAGGCCAGCGGAGGAATTATGGAGAGGGTAAAGACGCTATCGCAGGTTCGACACTTCTGTCATTCTCGTAGCCTTTGCTATTTACCTACTTCTTAGGTTTCAGAAGAGTTGGAACAAGTCAAGCAGGAAATGAAAGAGAGCAGTTCACGGTTGACCGACGGAAGTACATTGATAATTTGAGAAATTTTTAATCACCCCCATTCTTTTAGCACCTCTGACAAAGATTAAGCAAGCAATCAGTGCCCTAAAAGAAGAAATCACGCTGATGCGTGTGCAATCAGCCATGAATGACCAAATAAACGTTGCAGAGAAGCAGCCTTTCGACATAAATCCAACACTGTACAGCGCATGACATCGTTCACAGACGCTCTAAGCGAAGCCTCTTCCACCTGCCGCTTGCATACAATGATAAAAAACCAATTTGTTGCTTGTTGTTGCTGACTTATGGTTAGCATTATATGGTTCATATGTCAATCTTATGACACTTACCGGCTAAGAAGTGTTGTTAATGTGTTTTAATAAGTCCAATATTTCTTTTAAAATTTCACGGCCTATCAAATTAAGAAAAAGTTCAATAATATGAAGTGGTTACAGGTAAAAAAATTAAGAGGCCCACGTTCCGCTATTTAATATTTAGTAAATGATTCATTGTCCGTAACACAACATATTTCCATGAATGACATCTCTGACTGCAAATATTTTTTAACAATGTGAGAAATGTTTACAGAACAACGTTCTATACATATTTTATGGATACAGAACGTATTACATAATGCGCAGATACAGTAACTTCCTTGTTTCTCCATGAAGAACTAGATACATAGTTCACATCAACAACAAATCCTTAGCTAGTTTCATTGAGCTTCGCCAAGTATTTTATCATCATCATTAAAAGCCATTTGGCATCTGGTGAAGATGGCTGTTCAGGTAAATTTTTTTACGTCTTACTATTAGAAGAGTTCTGTACGTCGACGAATCATTCCTCGTTAACAATAAGTGATCGTTTTCTTCAGCAGACCGATGTACTGACCAACAACCCCATGGATGGCCATACCGGAGCCCTGATGACCAAGTAATTGATCGAAACATGCCAGTCTTTTATCTCTAAGAAAACTACCCTGCCGTAGAACCACTTTGCACCACATCTGGAGGTCAACTAGGATATACTTTACAACTGTTATAGAAACGATACGTTATTGCCTTATTTAAGATTCTGCTAGAAAAAATTTGATAATAATTTCAAGAAAATTTTATATATACAATCAGGTTCATTCTGAGAGATTCTTTGCTAACTGGAGGAATTTTAAAACCATGAAGCTTAAGCCTTAGAATCTAGAATTCATCTACATGTCTTATGACCGGCGAAAGATATCGATAAAAAATTGCTAAAGCGAATCATCACATTTTGTTTCAAAGCAAGAACAGATTCTCAAATTTCACAGGGCATTCGCGTACAACTGAAGTGCACTGCTAATACAAACAGTTTCTATCAAAAGTTTTCTGCACGTAGCATAAAGCCATCGATCGATCGTCATTCAGTCAGACTTTAAATGTCTCACACCACTATTCAAGCCTTCTCTGTTTCTGGCCGTTTCAATAGCAAGGAACTGGATCCGAAAAACTGAAAAATCTTTTGATCATCTACCAGAATGTAATGAATAGACTTAACGGCCAAAGAATAAGCTCACCGATGAATGTATTTTCCGAAGTATAATCGCCGTGACAGTCAGCCCGCAGCAACGTGCCAAAGTTGTAGTCGTCAATCACGCCTTCGAAAAGAAGCGAAAATTCCCGCCATTTCTAGAAATAAAAACAGCGTAACATGTTAAAATGGAAACAGTTTCAGCTGCATTCTTACCTCAGTTTTCATATCCGCTTCTTCGATGACCTCCACGTCGAAATCTTTAAAGTAGTGGCGAAAATCTTCATAGATCAAGTTGTCGTTTGGACAGAGGTGGAGATCCTTTGGATCGCAAGATCTTAGTATCTGAAACATGATAAGTGAAAAATTTAATGTGTCGAAAATAACGAACCAACGACCACGTACGTTCATATACGTCTGAGCATCAGAGTACACCTTGATCACCCACGCTTCTTCCAACTGAGGCTAAATAAAAATGCATAAAAATTTGGTTTTTGCTATTTCTAGAGGTTATGCTAACACTAAACATCGATGATAAACTGAAATATAAGTCATAAAGACCTCAAAACGCTTAGATAGTTCCTGAAATTCACGCTAATTTAAACTAGAGATTTTTACCGAAAGCTGAATTACTCTCTTTAGCAGCTGCTCCGTATAAAACAAGAGATCGACCAACCGGTGACTGACAATGTGCCAGGTAAAAAGTTTTTATCCCTAATATTCTTGAACGAACTATATCTCTCCAAATAATATTACAATTCCAAAACACCTCTAAGATATAAAATTCACTATTTTTGTCACTGCAGCAAAACTTCTACCGTTTCAATTTACAGTCCCAAATCAACCATATTAGAATAACCTGAACATCAACATAACTTGCTCTGGTTGAAACTAAAAACTCAACGAGACCGTACAGCAAGAATGATATATACAAAACGTCCTTCAACTTCAAGATTAACTACGCACTAACGTATAAAGGCAAAGAAGAAAACTGAAAGGGACTTACTACATTTCCAAACGAATCTGCTTGCTTCTGTGCTTCGTTCAACGCCAGAGTCTCAAGCTATAATAGATCAGTGAGATCCATCGACCTTCTGTACGCCTGCACGAAATATATTTTTGCAAAACAAAACAAATGGGCTATGTACTGTATCCCGCTCCGGCAAAACTGGGAATAAGAATAAGAATTACATAATTTAAAGAGCCTGTGACGTCAGGTTTCCAGTGTGTCTAGCTGCTGGCCCTCTCTAGCGTCCCCGGTTGTGGATATGGCAATGACTTCCAGATATGAGTTAGCTGCGATGAATAAGCAGTCACAAGCAGGAAGCGTTGAGACCACTATGGCACAGCACGGCTGAAAATCGACAGGTTCGATTCTCAGAGAAAAAGTCATAAGACCACATTACAGTCTCGAGACTAGGCGAATGATATCTTTCTTTCTGAAGAAAAAAGTATGCAAATGCCATGTTTGCCCTGAGATAAGACTTCGATAAAAATCTGAACGGAATTGAGAAACTCGTCTGTACTAAACTCCCCGGTACCGTCAGCCCTGCTAGTGGGTGGCAAAACTTCGTGACAGCATAGTTTAAGTGTTAAGGCTGATCCAGGTGAATTTAAAGAAAATGATTAGGTACTGCCTGTTCAGAGGGTAAACATCATGACCAGTCCATAATTTTTCACAAAGTCGTCCTAAATAATAATACAATCGTACTCTAAAAGAAGGAAGTACAGTCGTTTATGTGAAAATTCAGTTTAAATTAGTAAATTTCCATATAGGAGAGTTCATTATTTGCACATTCTCCAACATTTCAAATCTTGATGGATCAGACTTTCGAAGGAGACGATAAAACAGAACTGTTGTTGCTGCATCACTGTCTTCAAAGGCCAAAAGAGTAGCCCAGATTTACGATGTCTAGCCTTTAGAAATTGTATCTCAAAATGATACAAGGCAAAGGTCAAATTGCTAGTAGCCAGCACGTCTCCCTAAATTCATAAAAAAGAACATTACAGTATAAATTGGTGCAGTCAGGCAGCAACTTCACTATGGAGGTCACAGCACAAATAATGAAAACCGCTTCGTTTCTTCGTTACAGTACAAAGTTAGTTCCATACGAATGACTTTATTCAAGCTGTGATTTTGCTGAATTACCAAGGCTTTCAGCATCTTCCGGTTTAGAAAATTTCACTCTCTGTGAATTCCTTTCAATTTATCCCATAATATTCAGTGTCGGCATACTGCATTTTCCACAGCTGCTGAGTTCATTTCGTACACCTTCTTCACCACCTATAGACCTTTTGTTTACCTTTTTGTCTTTCGCCCTTTTCCTCCCTGTGCGTGTCCATTCTGACGTACATCTGTGTTACACCATCTCATCAGTTTACTGATGTGTTCTTCAGTTCATTTGACTGAAACCAGCACTCAAAAGAAGGGGGTAGAATCAACCTTGTTGCCTGGATTTGGCTCAATGATCCTGACGGGCAACAGCTGGCTTCATAACGCTTTTTGGGATTGAAATATCAGCCGTGTTCCACGCTTTCGATCCATCCCCTGCAAATTCTCGCTCAAACCTTGCACTATGAAACAACAGTCTGGTGTTAAATTGCTGTTTTCAGTTTCTAGTTACTCCCCTGCTACTGTTCTGGTTGCTGAATGTTTCTTCCATCGCACGCCTAGGACAGCAACTGTCCTTGAGAGCTTTCCGGAAGTAAGTTGGTTCCTGTTGGTCAAGAATGTTATCTGAGCTCAGTCAGAAGCTCTCTGGTGGATAGAGTATTTTAGATGCCCTTCTTCAAGTAAAATAAACGGTTCGAATCGAACAGCAAGAATTTTATTCTTTTGTTAGTACTCTATAATTGAAAAGTTGTTTAAAACATTTATTCTAACACAGCATTTATTTTGCCATCATCATCTCAGGTATCAAGGTAAAGGTCAAGGGCAGAGTAGCTAGATTAATGATGTCTGATGCTGTGGCCAAGATCGCAATTAATATCGCCAATTATAACCAACAATAAAATCACACTCAGCTCCCATTGTAGCAGTAGGTAGCTGCATACATTTTTCAGCAACACACATGAAACATAACAGAAAACCTACTTGAAGAATCTCAGTGTCACTCATTACAGTTCTTTCAGAATTCAAGCCTAAAAACAAACGTTAAACATTGTTGAAGCATAACATATTCGAATGAACAAAAACTTCATTACATATAGTGAACTTAGTTTGTTCTCAATCAAAGCCTGCCACTGTACATCTATATTTCGGTATATTTCTTATTCCTCGCGATAAATAACGCAAACCTAAAAATATGATGTGAAATGTAGAACGCTAAAGAACTCTTTAAACAAATAAACCCAGTAAGATTAACAACATCAAAGGCTACAAAACTGATCATCTGAACAAGAAAAATGCAAACGAAATAATAAGAATTAAAGATCAAGGTCTCATCCAGTCTCAGAGAAATATTAACTGTCCATTATCAGACTTGTCCTCATTATGAGTGAGCTATGAACGTAACAGATGCTGCAACTGTATTGCCTTCCGGGCTGGTAAGTAATATGACAATCGGATCGTTTCAGCATGTTCTTCGACGACAGGGTCCAAAGGAACACATTTTATGACCTTTTACATCCAGCTGTTGTCTTTCAGCAGACGAACCACATGACCAACCATATCGTAGAAAGCAGAAATCAGGTCTGCTAATCCGATCCGTTGTCATATTCGTGCGCTAGAAACGTGAAACCGGATAGGAAACCTCGTACATCCTTTGCTCGTTGAGTTACCAGCAGATTTTTCTCCTCGGACTCAAATTCAGCGCCGTAGATCATAGCCGGTAAGATTCAAACATGGAGTCAAACAGAACTTTATTCGCTCGCATAGACAACTCAAAATCGAATGACCATGGTTCAGTACGGTTAAAGCTGTTCCAAGTAGCATTCATTTTTCCGTTGATTATACCATATAGCGAGTTCATGCGATTCACCTGACGGCCGAGGTACACGTAGCTAGTGATTATTTCGTTCAAAGAAATATAATACAGTCGTTGAAAACAGAGGAGTATTTTACGAGTTATGTTATCGCGTTTAGAGCGAAAGTCGGATTTACCTAAACAAGACAAAAGGTGAAAGGTAACCAAGTATGTATGAAAATAAGGCATGGATTTTTACTCATCACATTTCTGATAATTAAAAAACAGGTTTTCTAAGTTACAGAAATTCAAACAAAAGGTTCACATTTCAAAGGCTGAAAATCATGAAGAACAGCCAATACGGCAAGTCATTTCAAATCACACGGGCTTAATGCCGA